AAATTGCTGAGTTAAATAAAACTATTGAAGATCAGCAAGAAACAATAGTAGATTCGGTTGCAAGAAATTGGCCAAGAGAATAGCAATATGATTGATTACTTATAAAAAGAAATAAACTTCAAGCAAGATTAGAAGATGCAGAAGAGGAGCTTCATCAAGAAAGAGAAAGAAGAGTTTATGCTGAGAGTAGGAGAAGAGAAAGGTTAAAAGAGGTAGTAGAAGATATATTTGTTAATGCAGAAAAAGGTTCAGATAGTATAGTAGAATAATATTTTGTAAAAAAATTTTTTTTTTTTTAAACAATAATAAAATTTTAAAAGTTTGTAAATAAATTAATTGGTTTAAAAATTAAAATTGTGAATTAAATCAAAAAAGAAGAGTTTTCAAAGAAGAATTATGAAAAAGGTAATAATAATAGTAATAAGTTAATAATAATATTTTTAAATTGAATAAAGGATAGAAGAAAAAGTTAAAAAAAACAAGAAGTTATAAAAATAGATTAGGATAAGGAGAAATAGATAGATTGAAATATGTTTGTTATAATAAAGTTTGTAAAAGTAACAAAAATAGAAAATATAAAAATTTGTATCGATTTTTATATTTTATCAAATAAAGTATTTAATATACTACTTAATTATATTATCAACTTTAGTAGTAAATTTAGTTTTTTTTTTGTAATTAAATTTATTATTAGTCTAAGCCTTAATTTGATCCAGATAATAAGAAATATTATCTTCTAAAGTGGTATTATTTAACTGATTTTTATTATCTTTATTTTGTTTTGTTGATAGTTGACTAATTGTTTGAGTTGAAATATCATCATTTTCTTGTTTTAAACTTGATTTTTGTTGATTATTTGTTTGAGCAGAATTAGTATTTTCTTCTAATTTTACTATAAGACTTTGATTGTTTTTAATATTTTGATCCTTTTGCTTTTTAATACTAACTGAATTGTTTGTTGTTTTAAGAAAGGTTTGAGCAACCATATATCTTTCTTGTTGTGAATTATTATTATTGTTTTTGTTTAATTGTAAAATAGATTGTTGGGAGTTATTATTTTGTTAAGATTGATTGTCCTGAGATTGATAATTATTATTATCATTTTTAATTGATAATTATTGCACTTGTTATTTTTCTAGTTTTAATTTCGATAATAATTTCAAGCTATATGTTCAATTTTATAGCATTCAAAACAAGCAGATGCTTTACAATATTTAGCAATATGTCCAAATTTTTGACATCTTTTGCATTTGTAGTTTCTTTATACTAGTTTGTTGTAATTATAATTTTGTATTTGCTATTATTATTTTGAAGATTTGGTCTTTTATCAATTGCTTGTTTAATAATTTGTTGGAATAAAGAAAGAAGATTTTTTTCCAAGAGCATCAAAAAGAGGTTGTGTAGTAGTAGAGCAATTATTAAAATTTTGAGGTTAATATATTGTTGATAGATACTCTATTATGTTTATAGATTAAAAAATCTTTAGAATATAATTAATAAGAAATATAAATGAGAAATAAAATAATATAAAGGAAAGAAAATCAAACAAGATCTAGATACCTTTTATCTAACTTAAAACTTTAAAACATGCTTTTTTGGGCTTTTGTCTTTAAG